TCTGTACTGAGCAGTTGCACACCAGCAGCAGCCTCTGGGTCTGTCCTGGTTAGCTGTGTGCTGGGAGGAGACTCTGTGTGGTTGCTGTGGGTAGGACCGTTCTCTGGCTGCTCTGCAGCTGTGGCGAGTCAACCGGTTTGCTTGCAGCACCAGCTGTGGGGAATGAATGGCAGATTGCTTATCACTGTGAGGGGTTTCAGGGCTGGGTTACCCCCCAGGGGTTTAGGGCACCTGAAGTTCCTTAAGATTCCCAGACTGCTGGGCTGAGTGTGCTGGGATTTGTCCAGATGATAAATCCTTGTCCCTTTAAGAATTTCAAAAAGCACCCACTTTTCTTTTGTCCTAGGAGAGCCGGCTGTGGGGACCTGCTCGCAATCTCCATCTCGGATTTTACTTTTCCATTTCTCTAATATCCAGTACACCGTGTGATGTGTGTCTGTGCTCCCAGTGCAGGTTACTAGGGCTGGTTATTTAGCAGTCCTGTGCTTCCGCTCCCTCCCCACTCTGATTTTTTCCCTCCCACTGGTGAGCTGGGGTGGGGGGAGTGCTCGGGTCCCGCCAGGTCACGGCTTTGTTTCTTACCCTTTTCGTGAGATGCTGACTTCTTGCAGATGTAGATGTAGCCGGGCTGTTGTACTGTATCTTCTGGTCTCTCTTTTAGGAGTAGTTGTATTTTCAAATATATATATGGTTTTGGGAGGAGATTTCTGCCACCCTACTCATGCTGCCATCTTGAGCCCCTCCCTATTGTATAAACTTCAGGTTTTTTAAAGCTGGAAATTGAAGATACTAATTCCTCTGTACTTTGTTTTGATAATGGACATGAAAACTTTTTGGAAACTGCAGAGGGTTCTGATTGGAAAGCCCATAAAAGAATGCATGGTAACTGGGAGATCTGTGCTTATAGAACTGGCATAACTCAGGTATATTGCATGGGAGAGGGGTTTGGGGCTCAATTGAGTAACAATATAAGGAGGCTTTTACATACAATATTTTTTAAAGATGACAGAATGGCTGAGTTGACAGGTAGAAGTTGATCTATTCCAAAGTGTAGGAATATAAAAAAAGCACATGGTAAAAGTTGGTGGGATGGACTCAGTACAGGCATGGAATTTAGAATTGGATCCTGCCAATGCAGGATCAACAAAGTATTGCTTCAGGCATGATGGGGGAACAGAACCGTTCCAGACTTGGCATCTGGAGAGGAACATCTTGAATTTGGGACAGAAGAATATTAATGTCAGCACAGACATTCTTTGAAAAGCCAGTCAAGAGCTTGTATTTCTGAGTTAATGTGAACATTTATCAAAGGCATGACAAATATGGACCGTATGTGAAGAAGCCATTCAGCCCCTGCATGCACTGCTAATAAGTGAAAAGGAAGCTAAAAATTACACATGAAAGCAGCTTTCAGCCAAGGATCACAGACATTTGCCTGATAGTGGAATCTTTACCAAGTGAAATAGTGAAGTTGGTGGATTTTAAGTTGGATGGTCTAGCTCCCTTGTTATCCTAACAGACAATTCTAACAACAGAAGAACTATTGACGCTAGGAACTCTTATATCTAAATGCCAATAAAGCCAGGGGTAGAATTTCAGGTCTTTGTTCTGGGAGAAGGTAAAACAGTAGTAGTGGTGGTGGCAGCTGTAGGAATTGCTTGTGTGGCGCTGATGTGTGTTAACTGCTTCCAGCTTCACAGCAACCCCTGTAAAGTGGTATGATCTCCACCCCCATTTTATGTCTGACAAACTGAGGGACAAAGAGGCTAAACAACTTTGTTGGGGCCACACCCACTAAGAGTCAGAGCTGAGCTTTGAACCCAAAGTGGCTTGGTCTACAGTATGTGCTTTCAACTGGAATACTGTATTTCCTCTCAGTTTTAGTCATTATAACCAATATCAAGTACACCTATGGCTTTGTGAGAGATACCTGTGGGACTGAGGCCATAAACTTCAGGGGCCTTTCCATTCTGTTCCAGGCGGTACTTGGAAGGAAGAGGTTTGTCCAGATTATAAATTCATTAGGAATAGGACTCTTATCTTGTTCATGTTTGTATCCTCCAGTGTCTCATATCCCCTTGTGGCACATAGCAGGGGCTTAATAAGCATGAGTTGAAACAAACCAAATAGTATCTATGACCTTTTTGCTTGACATAAAATTATTTTTGTCACTGAACAAGAGAGGAGAATGGAAATGCATAGCTATACCCAAACTCCCAAAGGCATGTTGGCATTTAGTTGTTCATCCTCTGTGGTCAGACCTTTCACCACATCCTGACTCCAAACTCAAGGCCTGGTTCTAGTCCCTCCTGCCTCAAGGCTGCTGGTCCTGGCAGAGGGAATCACTACGCTGCTGCTCTTACCCAGTGCTCTGGTTACAGCACTGATGGTCATGTTTGTAAAGGCTGTGCATCAGGCTCAGGACTTGGTGGCTGACAAGCATGGCTCTGAACCTTAGTCACAGAACTTCCTAGCTGGTGGGCCTTGGACAGGTCATTCCATTCAGCCTTTCTCAGCTCAGTCTCATCACTGACAATATGAGGCTAACATTATCCTACCCAGGGGATGCTTGAGAGGCTTAAGCAGGATGACATATCACCTAGCATAGTCTCTGGCACAGGGGAGTCAGCTGCTCAAATTGTAGAAATGAAACTTACTAGTTAGATGGCAACTTCTTGGAGGCCTAGGATCACGTCTCACATTTCATCAGGGACCTTTCTCCACACTCTGAACCCCTCATGCCATCCTCCCCTTCCTTACTCACCTCAACTTCTTCACTCTCTGCCCCCAGTTCTATCACCAAATTCCCAATTTGTTCATTTGTTGTTTATTGTGCTTTACCAATAATGGGGTCATTTTGGTTCTGCCCCAGGAGATATTTGGCTACCGGACTCAGGGCCACCGGAAAGCCCTCTGCCTTGCTGGATCCATCTTCTCACTTGGGATCCTCCCCCTGGTGTTTTACTGGAGACCTGCTTGGCATGTGTGGGCAAACTGCATCCCGTGTTCCTTGCAAGAAGCAGATGTCGTGTTACTGAGGACAACAGTAAGTGTGCACCTGGTTTGGTACCTGTCGACCCTTTCTCCTGAACATCTTGTTATGGCTGTGGGGAGACACGCATAAGGCAGGTGGCAGCAAGAAGCTATAGCCTCAGGTTTCATCCAAGCCTTGCATTTATTGACCAAGAATTCAATAATTTGTGTATGACAAAGACCTATTTCATGGGATATTCCTTTAGAATTGTGAGTTTTGTGAATATTAGAGCAGGGACGAACCATGTTAATTGCTAAAAATAATACGCAATGTGAAATAGTTAAGTCAGGCTACAGGCTATAAAATTCACTGATCCTGATGCCCCCATGCCTATTGTGGAGCAGCTCTGGAGGAAGAGGGTTGGGGAGGAGACAGGAGCCCTACTCTGAGGATGATGCTCTCTTCCTCTGCTCCTTTGAGAGAGCCATGGTTATTGAAGGGAGTGTGTGGAATCCTGCAGATATGCTAGGGCAGAGAAATGCAGCCATCTCTCCCTGAGCTCACTGCCTCTCTATGCTAATACAGGATACTGGTGTTAGGTGAATTTCTCTGAATACGCTCTGATAACGCTTCCCCCTAGCACTCATCACACTTAGGCAATGTGCATTGTTCCTGCCAACTGTCAGCTCCACAAGGAAGGGACCATTTCTAACTTATTAATTGCTACATCCCTAGTTCCTGCACCTGGTATGGATTCTATATATATAAGTGGTGGCTGACAGGCTGAAGTGGTATTTCTATTGATGGGGATCAAAGTACAATCTCATGGAAGAATCTTTTTCTGGCTGACTTTTACTGAGTGTTGTTAGTAATGAATCAGCCCAAATGACCTATAATGACAACCAAATTCTTGATAAATCAACCTCTGCTGGGCTGTTAGCTTCTTTTTATGTATAGCAATCTTTCTAGATAAACATATTTAATGCAGCAAGAAGGGAGGATAGCGACCAGTCTTATTCCTGACTAAAAAACATTTCACATTTCAATCTAACAGAGTTGGGGCTAGACCTCAGTGAAGCTGGAAATTGGATGGAATTTGTCTTTGTTGGCTCGATCCATTGGGGTGAGCTCCCACCCCTCATTTCTGGATCCTGGCCCTTCAAGAGCCACCTGTTCTATGTCCTAGCTTAGCTGATACGCAAATCTTGATACAAGTGATAGCTTAGGCACTTCCTCCCAAGTTAACTCAAGATTCTTAGAGAATAAACTTCAAGACTTTAAGAAGGCAAGATTATTATGGAGAAAGATGAAGTCATATTGGTGATGCATGGCTGGGAGTTATACTTCATTGCTGCCTAAAATATACTTCATAAAGGCTCATAGAATATGCATGAGAGGAGTACCTGGTGCTCCCCAAAGAAGACGTTTTCATTTGACAGGTGAGGAAATGTGGCCTGGAGAGGGGACCCAGTTTACCTGTTGATCCTGGGAACTAAGGGGCCTGACTAGAACTAAGTCCATGGCTCCTAGCTCCTAGTGCAGGCAGAGCTCTTCCCCTGAACCATGTGGACCAGAGGTTCCCAAACTTCAGCCACCATCAGAATCATCTGGAGGGCTCCTCAGCACAGAATTGTGACACCAACCCCAGAGTTTCTAATGTGTTAGATTTGGACAGGGGCCCAAGAATTTGCATTTTTAACAAATTCTCAGATGATGCTAATGCTTCTGAGAAGGGGGCCACACTTTAGGAAATACTACTGTAAATAACCATTTATGAGCTCACTTTGGCCCTTGGGAGAGGAATAGAGGCCTGGACATTTGTTTTATGGCTCAGCCAATATATACGTATAGTCTCAAGGGGAATGTTCCAGATTTAGCAGTGTTAGAAGTGGTCCTCCCACACAGCCTGAGTGTTTTGTTAGTACAGGGGTAAAGAGAGAATTGTTTTGGGGACTCAGAATGGGGACATAAGAACTATGGAAGACCACACATCTTTGGGGTCAGTTGCCTCCGTGTGCACTTAAAGACCTATGAGATTCTTATTTTCTGGTGTGAAAGGAAGATTTGGAAAAGTACTCTACTTTGCTGGTATTTCCCACTTCCCCCAACTGGTTCTCCAGAGGAATGCTTTTTCTGCAGCAGAAACAACCCTGGGAACAGAAAAGCTTTCTGCCTTCCCAGTGTCACCAGACCCTCCTGAGAGAGCATCTGGTTGGCTGAGCTGTCCTCTGAGGCTGCTGGCAGTCAAGGCACAGATGAGAGTAAGAGGAAATGAGCAAGGCAATGGCAAAGGACAGGAGGAAAAGGAAAGAAATGGAGAGGGAAATAGGTCAAAGGGAAAGGAAGAGGGAGAAAAAAGAAGGAAAGATCTAGTAAGAGTGAAAGGAATGCAGAAGTGTCAACCAACTGGGAAATAGTACCTTTTGGGATTTGGAGTCAAAAGTTTTAACTTCTAGTCCTAGCATCTTGGGTGTGTTACACCTTAGGTTTAGTATCTAACCTTCCAGAATGTCCATTTCTTCCCTTGTAAAATGGACCATAAAAAGTACTTGTTTTTTGGGCTGGTATAAGGATGAAGTGACTGTGTATGTAAAACCCCTTTGCAAACTGTAAAATGCATTATCAAGGACCATTTTGAGTGTGTGTGTGCACACGTGTGTGTATTACTGCTCAGGCAGCTCCATGAGCCTACTGTACAAAAGAGCTTGCTGTAGACTAGTGCACCATGTATCATGGCCCCGCTTATTCAGACTGTGTCCTTCCCTGACTAACCAGGGAGCCTACATTCCCTCCCAGGACAGGAGACATGGGGAATGTGTCCTGTGACTGGGAATCCCCAACACTCACTGTAACTCTTGGGGAAAATCCCAGGGCAAAATACCTTTGAAACTGAAATCAGTCAAAGGGAGAAATAAAGTGTGAGAAACCCATTTATTTCTTACAAGCAGTCCACTTCTGCTCTCCCTCATCTCTTTGGACCCAGCAGCAGTAAAGGCCCCATCCAACCTCTCTGGCCCTTGCTTGCCCTTATAATTACCTATTGATATGGAGATGTCTACCTCTCCCCACCCCTTGGAAACACCTACTGATATGGAGATGCTCTAAGGCCAGGCAAGAGATTCTGGAAATAGTGCAGTTTTACCCACACTCACCCATGGTCAATCAGATCACCACCTCTAGTTGCATGAGGTCAGCTTTACAACTAGACATATTCTGGGAAGATTCAAAGAAGTGCCTCAGGGAGCTGTGTTCCATTATCCTGCCTCTCTCTTTGCGTCTTTGAAGTCTATTAAGCCCCTCTCCCATTTCACACCTAATCAGAGCAGTCTAAACCAGCTTCAATCTTGCTTTTTTCATCTTGATTTCAACTTTAATTTTTAATTACCTGCTCTCATGTGTCGTTTTTAATGGATTTGCTATGCCAGAGACTCTCCAAATAAATGAGGCTCTAAATTCGTCTTTATGTAATTAGACAAGAACTCAATGATCTCAAACACTCTTACTATCTGAGCCTTAGATAAAAATAAGCTTTGGGCACAAATAGTTTAAAAGCTTGCTGCTAGGTTATTTGTATTAAAGTGACACCTTAAAAAGGATTTTGTTTGAGTTGTATTACAATAGCTGGACTGTAAAAACTTTCCATTTCTGAGGGCTTGAAGGCTTCTACCTGGGAGTGTGTTGTGCATCTGTTTTTCATGTTATTAAAAAAATCAGTACTTGGTATTTATCATCAGTCTCACACTGGTAAGATTATAGATCATTATCACAGATACTGATTAGGGAGTCATTTTTTAACATTATAAAAAAAAATGCCATGATGTACTGACTGAAAGTCTTTAGCACCCAGTTCCTCATCTCTTATTAAGCACCTCTAAGTGTGAAATTCTTCCAAAAGATAAGAGTAATTACACTTTTATTTTGTAATTTTAGAAGTGGCATTTTATTCATTATTCATCTACCTCAGAATTTTAACCAATATCTATAGTGATGCCACATTTCTATGCAAATAACATGATTTACATTCATTGGCGTTTTGAATTCAGAGGCCCCTGTTGATTTCCACAGTTTTCATCCTTATTATAATTACAGACGCATTTTTTTCCTTCATTGTCATTGCATATTACACATTGTCAAAGACCCGGTAGGTGCAGAGGAGAGTACTGGGATGATCAGTTACTAGACAGACTCAGGGCATTCCATTTCGATGTTTTAATGCAGAGCATTTCCCCTTCAATTTCACTTGAAGATGTCAGTGCCAGGGGCATTAGTTTGAAAACTTAGAAATCCTGCAAATCAGCCATGCAAATGCCATCCGAAGTCCACGAACCCACCAGGACACCTACTTGTCAGCCACCAACATTTGTGTTCATGTTTCCTGGATCCCTTATTCATCTCCTCCCTTTTCCACAGCAGCCTGGTCTCTCCAAGCCCAGGCTCCCCACATCAACATCATTTTCTGTTTTGTCTGTGCTTTTACTCACAAAATCTCTTTTGATACCCTCCATCCTCTCCACATATTTATTCATTTACTTATTAATTCAAAAAATATTTACTGAGTACCAGTCATGTACCAGACATTGTTATAGGTACTGGGAATGCAGTTATGAACAAACAGATAGAAATCTCTGTCCTTACAGAGTGGCAGTCTGGTGAGGAGTCAGCTCACATGCGCATGCACACACACACATTCTCTTTAGAGTAAATATGGGAAGTAGGTGTTCTGTGTCTACTTATTAACACCTACTCATTCCTCAGCCCTATACCACCTTCTTATTGAGTCTTTGATCCATTCTCTGCCCAAATTCTGGAGGGAATTACCTTTCCTTCATTCTCTGTTAGCTCTGTATTTTCATCTCTGGCTGCTATAGTGTTTTTTGCAGTCTATCTTGTGTTAATAAGCTATTTACTTTACATTTTATAAAACAGCATCTCATTGATTATTTCATTTAATTCTCATAACAACTCTAGAAACTGGGCATTATCATCTTTGTTTTTCAGATAAGGATACAGAAGGATGACTTTGCAACCTAGCAAACCTACTAAATGTCAGCCAGGATTCCCCTCCCTCCCTT